GCCTCGACCTCCTTGGGCGTCTAGGGGTACCTACACTCTCTTAGTGAAGGGGTTACAGGGAGCCTCGACCTCCTTGGGCGTCTAGGGGTACCTACACTCTCTTAGTGAAGGGGTTACTGGTAGCCTCGACTCCTTTGGGCGTCTAGGGGTACCTACACTCTCTTAGTGAAGGGGTTACAGGTAGCCTCGACCCCCTTGGGCGTCTAGGGGTACCTACACTCTCTTAGTGAAGACGTTACAGGGAGCCTCGACCTCCTTGGGCGTCTATGGGTACCTACACTCTCTTAGTGAAGGGGTTACTGGTAGCCTCGACTCCTTTGGGCGTCTAGGGGTACCTACACTCTCTTAGTGAAGGGGTTACAGGTAGCCTCGACCCCCTTGGGCGTCAAGGGGTACCTACACTCTCTTAGTGAAGGGGTTACAGGGAGCCTCGACCTCCTTGGGCGTCTAGGGGTACCTACACTCTCTTAGTGAAGGGGTTACAGGTAGCCTCGACCCCCTTGGGCGTCTAGGGGTACCTACACTCTCTTAGTGAAGGGGTTACAGGGAGCCTCGACCTCCTTGGGCGTCTAGGGGTACCTACACTCTCTTAGTGAAGGGGTTACAGGTAGCCTCGACCCCCTTGGGCGTCTAGGGGTACCTACACTCTCTTAGTGAAGGGGTTACAGGGAGCCTCGACCTCCTTGGGCGTCTAGGGGTACCTACAGTCTCTTAGTGAAGGGGTTACAGGTAGCCTCGACCCCCTTGGGCGTCTAGGGGTACCTACACTCTCTTAGTGAAGGGGTTACAGGTAGCCTCGACCTCCTTGGGCGTCTAGGGGTACCTACACTCTCTTAGTGAAGGGGTTACAGGTAGCCTCGACCCCCTTGGGCGTCTAGGGGTACCTACACTCTCTTAGTGAAGGGGTTACAGGTAGCCTCGACCCCCTTGGGCGTCTAGGGGTACCTACACTCTCTTAGTGAAGGGGTTACAGGGAGCCTCGACCTCCTTGGGCGTCTAGGGGTACCTACACTCTCTTAGTGAAGGGGTTACAGGGAGCCTCGACCTCCTTGGGCGTCTAGGGGTACCTACACTCTCTTAGTGAAGGGGTTACAGGTAGCCTCGACCCCCTTGGGCGTCTAGGGGTACCTACACTCTCTTAGTGAAGGGGTTACAGGTAGCCTCGACCCCCTTGGGCGTCTAGGGGTACCTACACTCTCTTAGTGAAGGGGTTACAGGTAGCCTCGACCCCCTTGGGCGTCTAGGGGTACCTACACTCTCTTAGTGAAGACGTTACAGGGAGCGGGCGTAGGAAACAGCTCATCTCTGCTCTTCACCTCGGAAGGTTTGGTCCAGATTTTTTATTTAAAAATTAATAGCACATTTAAATTCTCCTAATATCACGTAGTATTTTGACGTATATTTTACCAACGGCACAGTATGTCAATTTCGCGACTCGCGAAATTGACATACTGTTCCGTTTTCGGTTTTGGGTAGTATGGTAAGTTAGGATAAGGGCATTTTACTACGACAGTTTCTTGACGTTGGGAAACCTTCGGAGGACGGACTGCCTGGTTTGCCAGAGTGGAAGTATCGACGGTGACTTGGATATTATTTAAGTATTGTTGGGTTTACCTGGTCAGCATCTCTAGTGGTCTCGACGGGGGCCAGGAAACCAACGACATGCCAAAGGTCGGTGGTTTCATAACAACATAAGCTAGAGGTTCTGGCTTATGACACTCCCATACCACCCATGTATCATCTTGAAATGTCTAGATGAAACCAACCTTGAGCGTCTGGTCTCCATCCTCAGACATCAAAGCAAACATAAAGGAGTTATCTTCTATTGATATAGATTAAGCTTTCCGGCGTATTACGAATTCAGTTTTCTTTCACTGCTTCAGGTGACTTTCATTCCATAAACTTTATGGAAATTTGGACAGCAATTAGAAGTGAGGTAAACGTCTCCTGAGGCAACAGAGGCCACGTTACAACCTCCAGGATATTATAAAATATTGCACAAGACCACCTCCCAGTTGTAACATAGAGCACAAGACCACCTCCCAGTTGTAACATAGAGCACAAGACCACCTCCCAGTTGTAACACAGAGCACAAGACCACCTCCAAGTTGTAACATAGAACACAAGACCACCTCCCAGTTGTAACACAGAGCACAAGACCACCTCCCAGTTGTAACACAGAGCACAAGACCACCTCCCAGTTGTAACACAGAGCACAAGACCACCTTCCAGTTGTAACACAGAACACAAGACCACCTCCCAGTTGTAACATAGAACACAAGGCCACCTTCCAGTTGTAACATAGAACACAAGGCCACCTTCCAGCTGTAACATAGAACACAAGGCCACCTTCCAGCTGTAACATAGAACACAAGACCACCTCCAAGTTGTAACATAGAACTCCAATGAACACCCTCCTCCCCCCCCCCCTCATCATTCGCTCTGTGAATACTGTTATGGGAGAGAGTATCCGAAGGTTCTGGACGAGCCAGTTAGTATTAACTGACCATGAATGTATATTAAATTGACTGTACTCACCTAGTTGTGCTCACCTAGCTCGCGGGAGTTGAGTTCTGGCTCTTTGGTCCCGCCTCTCAACTGTCAATGAACTAATGTACAGATTCCTGAGCCTATTGGGCTCTATCATACCTACACTTGAAACTGTGTGTGGAGTCAGCCTCCACGACATCATTTCCTAATGCATTCCATTTGTCTACCACTGATATTAAAAAAAATATTTATAAAAATACTCTCTATGGCTCATTTGGGCACTCAATTTCCACCTGTGTTCCCTAGTGCGTGTGTTTGTTGTGTTAAATAGCCTGTCAATATCTACCCTATCAATTCCTTTGAGAATCTTGTATGTGGTGATCATATCCCCCCCTAACTTTTCTGTCTTCCAGCGACGTGAAGTTTAATTTCTGTAGTCTCTCCTCGTAGTTCATACTTCTCAGTTCGGGTATTAGTCTGGTGGCAAACCTTTGAACCTTTTCCAGTTTAGTCTTATGCTTGACTAGATATGGACTCCATGCTGGAGCCGCATACTCCAGGATTGGTCTGACATATGTGGTATACAAAGTTCTGTATGATTCCTTACACAAGTTTCTAAAGGCCGTTCCTATGTTAGCCAACCTGGCATATGCCGCTGATGTTTTCCTCTTGATATGGGGCTTCGGGGGGTCAGGTCTGGCGTGATATCGATCCCCAGGTTTTTTCTCTCTCTCTGATTGTTAAAGAAGTTCATCTCCCAAATGATACATTGTATCTGGCCCCCTTCTCCCAACACCTGTCTTCATTATATTACATTTTCTTGGGCTAAACTCTAACAACCGTTTGTTCGACCATTCCTTCAGTTTGTCCAGGGCTTCTTGAAGCCTCAAGATTTCCTCCTCTGTCTTAATCCTTCTCATAATTTTGGTATCGTCAGTAAACATTGAGAGGAATGAGTCTATACCCTCTGGGAGATCACTTACATATATCAGAAACAGGATAGGCACGAGTATATAGCCCTATGGGACTCCGCTGGTTACTTCACGCCAGTCTAAGGTCTCATCCCTCAATGTAACTCTTTGCTTTCTATTGCTTAGATATTCCCTTATCCACTGGAGCACCTTATCAGTTACTACTGCCTGTTTCTCCAGCTTATGTACCAGCCTTTTATGGGGTACTGTGTCAAAGGCTTTCCGACCGTCCAAGAAAATGCAGTCCGCCCATCCTTCTCTTTCTTGCTTAATCTTTGTCCCCTGATCATAGAATTTATTAAGCCTGTAAGGCAAGATTTACCTTCCCTGAACACATGTTGATGGGTTGTCACGAAGTCCCTTTTCTCCAGATGTGTTACTAGGTATTTTCTCACGATCTTCTCCATCACCTTGCAAGGTATGCAACTTAAGGACACTGGCCTGTAGTTCAGTGCTTCTCGTCGGTCACCCTTTTTTTATATTGGGACCACATTAGCCGTCTTCTTTATTTCAGGTAGGTCTCCCGTCTCTAGTGACTTACTATTTACCATGGAGAGTGGCAAGCAAAGCGTTCCTGCACACTCTTTCAATATCCATGGTGAGATTCCGTCCGGTCCAACAGCCTTTCTCTCGCCCAGATCCAACAGAAGTCTCTTGACCTCATTTCTTGTAATTTCGAACCCTTCCCAGGCCGCCTGGTTTACTGTTTCCTCTCCTAGCGCAGTGACACCTCTTTCTATTGTGACGACCTCCTGGAACCTCTTGTTAGGTTCTTCACACACCTCTTTGTCATTCTTTGTGTACCTGTCCACACCCGTTCAAAGTTTCATCACCTGTTCCTTCACTGTTGTTTTCCTCCTGATGTGACTTTGTAGTAACTTTGGTTCGGTCCTGGCTTTATTTGCTTTATCATTTTCATACTTTTTCTCAGCTTCTCTTCTCACACTAACGTACTCGATCCTGGTTCTCTGGCATCTCTCTGCTTTCTGGTGTTCTGTTATTTCGGAAGTTCCTCCACGCCCTTTTGTTCACTTCCTTTGCCTCCATATATGCCCAATTAAACTACGGATTCTTCTTTTTATCCTGTCGGGCCGGGATAAACCTGTTTATTGCCTCCTGACACTTCTGGGTGACATAGTCCATCATGTCTTGTACGGACTTGGTACTGAGTTCTGTGTCCCATGTCCCATGTCCCACAATTCCTTAGGAATTGTCTCATCTCATTATTTCCCTCTCAGTATGACAGCCTTTTGTTTCCTAATTCTACTTTTTTGGGAGACAATTCCTAGCCCTACTACTGTGTTCTCTGACTGACGGGCACGGAGCTCACAGGGGCTCCAGACAGGAGCTGAGGGCAAGATAAGTGGTGCAGTCACAGGGCAGTGACTGGTGTAGTCACAGGGCAGTGACTGGTGTAGTCACAGGGCAGTGACTGGTGTAGTCACAAGGCAGTGACTGGTGCAGTCACAGGGCAGTGACTGGTGTAGTCACAGGGCAGTGACTGTGGTGCTGCTTGACTGAGTGTCTCGCCTCCCACAGGAGCTGAGGACAGCAGCTGTGAGCTTGGTGTGCAGCGGTGCTGGGGGAGAGTGTCTCAGGGGCCAGGCTGACTGTCCCAGCTTCCTCAGTCAGTACGATCAGTACTGCCCCGATGGTGCCCGCTGCTGCCTCAGTGAGTATACTTAGCCTTCCTCAGTATAACCATCCTGCCTCAGTATAATCATCCTGCCTCTGTGAGTATACCCATGCTGCCTCAGTATAACCATCCTGCCTCAGTATAATCATCCTGCCTCTTTGAGTATACCCATGCTGCCTCAGTATAACCATCCTGCCTCAGTATAATCATCCTGCCTCTGTGAGTATACCCATGCAGCCTCAGTATAACCATCCTGCCTCAGTATAACCATCCTGCCTCAGTATAACCATCCTGCCTCAGTATAAACATCCTGCATCAGTATAACATCAAGCCTCAGTATAACCATCCTGCCTCAGTGTAACCATCCTGCCTCAGAATACCCACCCTGCCTCAGTATACCCATCCTGCCTCAGTATAACCATCCTTCCTCAGTATAACCATCCTGCCTCAGTGTAAACACCCTACCTCAGTATAACCATCCTGCCTCAGTATAACCATCCTTCCTCAGTATAACCATCCTGCTTCAATATAACCATCCTGCCTCAGTATAACCATCCTGCCTCAGTATAACCATCCTGCCTCAGTATAATCATCCAGCCTCAGTGAGTACACCCATGCTGCCTCAGTATAATCATCCTGTCTCAGTGAGTATATCCATGCTGCCTCAGTATAACATCCTGCTTCTGTATTACATCGTGTCTCTGTATATCCATCCTGCCTCAGTGAGTATAATCATCCTGCCTCAGCATAACCATCCTGCCTCAGTATAACCATCCTGCCTCAGTATAATCATCCTGCCTCGGTATAACCATCCAGCCTCAGTATAACCATCCTGCCTCAGTATAACCATCCTGTCTCAGTATAACCATCCTGCTTCAGTATAGCCATCCTGCCTCGGTATGACCATCCTGCCTCAGTATAACCATCCTGTCTCAGTATAACCATGGTGCCTCAGTATAACAATCCCGCCTTAGTATAACATCCTGCCTCAGTATAACCATCCTGCCTAGATGTAACAATCCTGCCTCAGTATAACCATCCAGCCTCAGTATAACATCCTGCCTCAGTATAACCATCCTTCCTCAATAAAACCATCCTACCTCAGTATAACCATCCTGGCTCAGTATAACCACCCAGCCTCAGTATAACCATCCTGCCTCAGTATAACCTCCTGCCTCAGTAAACCATTCTGCCTCAGTATAACCATCCTGCCTCAGTATAACCATCCTGCCTCAGTATAACCATCCTGCCTCAGTATAACCATCCTGCCTCGGTATAACAATCCTGCCTCAAAATAACTATACTGCCTCGTTATAACCATCCTGCCTCAGTATAACCATCCTGCCTCAGTATAACTATGCAACCTCAGTATAACCATCCAGCCTCATTATAACATCCTGCCTCAGTATAAACATCCTGCCTCAGCATAACCATACTGCCTCAGAATAACCCTCCTGCCACAGTATAACCATCCTGCCTCGGTATAACCATCATGCCACAGTATAACCATCCTGCCTCAGTATAACCATCCAACTTAAGTATAACCATCCTCCCTCAGTAAAACCATCCTGCCTCAGTATAACCATCCTGCCTCAGTATAACCATCCAACTTAAGTATAACCATCCAGCTTCAGTATAACCATCCTGCCTCTGTATAACCATCCTGCCTCAGTAAAACCATCCTGCCTCAGTATAACCATCCTGCCTCAGTATAACCACCCAACTGAAGTATAACCATCCAGCTTCAGTATAACCATCCTGCCTGAATATAACCATCCAGCCTCAGTATAACCATCCTGCCTCAGTATAACCATCCAACTTAAGTATAACCATCCTGCCTCAGTAAAACCATCCTGCCTCAGTATAACCATCCTGCCTCAGTATAACCATCCAACTTAAGTATAACCATCCAGCTTCAGTATAACCATCCTGCCTCTGTATAACCATCCTGCCTCAGTAAAACCATCCTGCCTCAGTATAACCGTCCTGCCTCAGTATAACCATCCAACTTAAGTATAACCATCCAGCTTCAGTATAACCATCCTGCCTGAATATAACCATCCAGCCTCAGTATAACCATCCTGCCTCATTATACCCATCCAACTTAAGTATAACCATCCAGCTTCAGTATAACCATCCTGCCTCAGTATAACCATCCTCCCTCAGCAAAACCATCCTGCATCAGTATAACCATCCTGCCTTAGTATAGCCATCCTGCCTCAGTACAACCATCCTGCCTCAGTATAACATCCTGCCTCAGTATAACCATTCTGCCTCAGTATAACCATCCTGCCTCAGTATAACCATCCTGCCCCAGAATACCCATCCTGCCTCAGTATAACCATCCTGCCTCAGTATAACATCTAGTCTTATTATAACCATCCTGCCTCAGTATAACCATCCTGCCTCAGTATAACATCTAGGCTTAGTATAACCATCCTGCCTCAGTGTAACCACCTTGCCTCAGTATACCCATCCTGCCTCTGTATAACCATCCTGCCTCAGTATAACCATCCTGCCTCGGTGTAACCACCCAACCTCAGTATAACCATCCTGCCTCATTATAACCATCCTGCCTCAGTATAGCCATCCTGCCTCAATATAACCATCCTGCCTCAATATAACCATCCTGCCTCAGTATAACCATCCTGCCTCAGTATAATCATCCTGCCTCAGTGAGTATACCCATGCTGCCTCAGTATAACCATCCTGTCTCGATGAGTATATCCATGCTGCCTCAGTATAACATCCTGCTTCTGTATAACATCGTGTCTCTGTATAAAAATCCTGCCTCAGTGAGTATAACCATCCTGCCTCAGTATAACCATCCTGCCTCAGTATAACCATCCAGCCTCAGTATAACTATCTTGCCTCAGTATAACCATCCAGCCTCAGTATAACCATCCAGCCTCAGTTTAACCATCCTGCCTCAGAATACCCATCCTGCCTCAGTATAACCATCCTGCTTCTGTATTACATCGTGTCTCTGTATATCCATCCTGCCTCAGTGAGTATAATCATCCTGCCTCAGCATAACCATCCTGCCTCAGCATAACCATCCTGCCTCAGTATAACCATCCTGCCTCGGTATAACCATCCAGCCTCAGTATAACCATCCTGCCTCAGTATAACCATCCTGTCTCAGTATAACCATCCTGCTTCAGTATAGCCATCCTGCCTCAGTATGACCATCCTGCCTCAGTATAACCATCCTGTCTCAGTATAACCATGGTGCCTCAGTATAACAATCCCGCCTTAGTATAACATCCTGCCTCAGTATAACCATCCTGCCTAGATGTAACAATCCTGCCTCAGTATAACCATCCTGTCTCAGTATAACCATCCTGCCTCAGTATAACCATCCTGCCTCAGTATAACCATCCAGCCTCAGTATAACATCCTGCCTCAGTATAACCATCCTTCCTCAATATAACCATCCTACCTCAGTATAACCATCGTGGCTCAGTATAACCACCCAGCCTCAGTATAACCATCCTGCCTCAGTATAACCTCCTGCCTCAGTAAACCATTCTGCCTCAGTATAACCATCCTGCCTCAGTATAACCATCCTGCCTCAGTATAACCATCCTGCCTCAGTATATCCATCCTGCCTCGGTATAACAATCCTGCCTCAAAATAACTATACTGCCTCGTTATAACCATCCTGCCTCAGTATAACCATCCTGCCTCAGTATAAGTATGCAACCTCAGTATAACCATCCAGCCTCATTATAACATCCTGCCTCAGTATAAACATCCTGCCTCAGCATAACCATCCTGCCTCAGAATAACCCTCCTGCCACAGTAACCCCATCCTACTTCATTATAACCATCCTACCACAGTATAACCATCCTGCCTCAGTATAACCATCCAACTTAAGTATAACCATCCTCCCTCAGTAAAACCATCCTGCCTCAGTATAACCATCCTGCCTCAGTATAACCATCCTGGCTCAGTATAACCATCCAACTTAAGTATAACCATCCAGCTTCAGTATAACCATCCTGCCTCTGTATAACCATCCTGCCTCAGTAAAACCATCCTGCCTCAGTATAACCATCCTGCCTCAGTATAACCACCCAACTGAAGTATAACCATCCAGCTTCAGTATAACCATCCTGCCTGAATATAACCATCCAGCCTCAGTATAACCATCCTGCCTCAGTATAACCATCCAACTTAAGTATAACCATCCTGCCTCAGTAAAACCATCCTGCCTCAGTATAACCATCCTGCCTCAGTATAACCATCCAACTTAAGTATAACCATCCAGCTTCAGTATAACCATCCTGCCTCTGTATAACCATCCTGCCTCAGTAAAACCATCCTACCTCAGTATAACCGTCCTGCCTCAGTATAACCATCCAACTTAAGTATAACCATCCAGCTTCAGTATAACCATCCTGCCTGAATATAACCATCCAGCCTCAGTATAACCATCCTGCCTCATTATAACCATCCAACTTAAGTATAACCATCCAGCTTCAGTATAACCATCCTGCCTCAGTATAACCATCCTCCCTCAGCAAAACCATCCTGCATCAGTATAACCATCCTGCCTTAGTATAACCATCCTGCCTCAGTACAACCATCCTGCCTCAGTATAACATCCTGCCTCAGTATAACCATTCTGCCTCAGTATAACCATCCTGCCTCAGTATAACCATCCTGCCCCAGAATACCCATCCTGCCTCAGTATAACCATCCTGCCTCAGTATAACATCTAGTCTTATTATAACCATCCTGCCTCAGTATAACCATCCTGCCTCAGTATAACATATAGTCTTAGTATAACCATCCTGCCTCAGTGTAACCACCTTGCATCAGTATACCCATCCTGCCTCTGTATAACCATCCTGCCTCAGTATAACCATCCTGCCTCGGTGTAACCACCCAACCTCTGTATAACCATCCTGCCTCATTATAACCATCCTGCCTCAGTATAGCCATCCAGCCTCAATATAACCATCCTGCCTCAATATAACCATCCTGCCTCAGTATAACCATCCTGCCTCAGTATAATCATCCTGCCTCA